TTGTCCAGTTGCATGATCAACAATGGGTAAACTTTCCAGGTTTGCAGGATCAACAATTGTGGTAAAACTTGTCAGGTATGCAGGACAACAATGTGGTAAACTTTTGCCAGGTTGCATTATCAACAATGTGGTAAACATGCCAGTTTGCAAGATCAAGCAATGTGGTAAACTTGCCAGGTTGCAGACCAACAATGTTGTAAACTTGTCAGTTGGCCAGATCAACAAAGTGGTAAACTTGCCAGGTTGCAGGATCACAATTTGTAAACTTGCCAGGTTGCAGAATCAATCAATGTGGTAAACTTGTCAGGTTGCAAGATCAACAATGTGGTAAACTTTCCAGGTTGCAGGATCAACAATGTGGCAAACTTGCAAGTTTTGCAGGATCAACAATGTGGTAAACTTGTCGGGTTGATGATCAACAATGTGGTAAACCTTGCCAGTTGCAGAATCAACAATGTGGAAACATGTCAGGTTGCAAGATTCAAAATGTGGTAAACTTGTCAGGTTCATAGGATCAACAATGTGGCAAACTTGCCAGGTTGCAGATCAACAATGAGGAAACTTGTCGGGTGCATGATCAAACAATTGGCAAACTTGCCAGGTTGCAGGATCAACAATGTGGTAATAAACTTGCCAGGTCAGGATCAACAATTGTGGTAAACTAGTCAGGCTTGCAGATCAACACATGTGGTAAACATGCCAGTTGCAGGATCAACAATTGGTAAACTTGGCCAGGTTGCAGTATCACAATGTGGTAAACTTGCCAGTTGCAGGATCAACAATGGTGGTAAAACTTGCCAGGTGCAGGATCAACCAATGTGGTAAACTTGCCAGGTTGTCAGATCAACAATGAGGAAACTTGCCAGGGTTGCAGATCAACAATGTGGTAACCTTGCCAGGTTGCATATCAACAAATGTTGTAACTTGTCAGGTTTCAAGGAAAAATCCAAAAGAAAAAACAATGTGTAAACTTGCTTGTTGCAAGATCAACATGTGTGTAAAACTTGCCAGGTTGGCAGAATCAACAATGTGGTAAACATGCCTGGTATGCAATGATCAACAATGTGGTAACCTTGCCAGGTTGCATGGATCACAACAATGTGGTAAACTTGCCAAGTTGCGATCACAATGTGGTAAACTTGCCAGGTTGCAGAATCAACAATGGGTAAACTTGCCTGGTTGCAAGATCAACAAAGTGGTAACTTTCAGTTGCAGGGATCAACAATGTGGTAAACTTGCCAGGGGTTTTGCAGGATCAACAAAGTGGTAAAACTTGCAGGTCAGAATCAACAATGTGGTAAACTTGCCTGGTTGCAAGATCAACAAATGTTGGGTAAACTTGTCAGGTTGCAGATCAACAATGAGGGAAATTGCAGGTTGTCAGGATCGAACAATGTGTGTAAACTTGCGCCAGGTTGCAGAATCAACAATGTGTAGAACTTGCCTGTTGCAAGATCAACAATGTGGTAAACGCTTTGTCAGGTTTGCAGGAATCAACAATGGGTAAACTTGCCAGGATTGTGATCAACAATGTGTGTTAAACTTGGCCAGGTTGCAGAATCTATAAATGTGGTAAAACTTGCCAGGTTGCAGAATCAACAATGTGGGTAAACTGCCAGGTTGCAGAATCAACAATGTGGTAAACTTGCCAGGTTGCAGAATCAATAATGTGGTAAACTTGCCAGGTTGCAGAATCAACAATGTGGTAAACTTGCCAGGTTGCAGAATCAATAATGATGGAAACATGCCATGTTTGCAGAATCAACAATGTTGTATACTTGCCAGTTGCAGAATCAATAATGTGGTAAACTTGCCAGGTTGCAGAAATCAATAATGTTGTAAAACTTGCCAGGTTGGCAGAGAGAATCAACAATGTGGAAACTTGCAGGTTGCAGAAATCAATAATGTGGTAAACATTGCCAGGTTGCAGAATCAATAATGTGGTAAACTTGCCATGTTGCAGGAGCACAAAGTGGTAAACTTGGCCAGTTGCAGATCAATAATGTGGTAATCATGCCAGTTGCAGGAATCAACAATGTGTAAACTTGCCAGGTTGCAGAATCAGCTGCAAAAATGAATTTTCTCGAGTTAATGGTTTTTTTTTGTGTTTTCCCTGTAGGTGTATTGGCATTAATATTTGCTTTGAGAACATGAACGTGAGACACTGGTGTGGAAGTGTGGAGTATAACAACATACTTGAACATTACACCAACATTAAAGAACAGCATATCAACATACAACAACTGTACAGTATAACACTCAAAAAATGATACAACAGTAACACCGAAGAACAAACGAAGTAACTATAAAACTGTAACAATAACATATGGGTTAAGAGCAATAAAAGCACAATACACATAAAAAAGCAAAGAAACAGAACAGTATATTGATACCTAAGAAAAGTCGAACATAATGTGGAATATAATGGTCTTGGATTCTGCAACTGCTACTTCGCATAATGCCAACAGACGTTTTTGTGAGTGCCATACAGACAGTTTTGTGACTTTCACAGACGACACTGTGTGATAACCAGAAGATCTGGATCTCTTGTTCTCTGGTTCTCATTTAATAAGAGTTCATAAACTTCAACAAGGTTTATAACAATCAATGGAAGATAATAAGGGAGGGAACTCCACGAAGACATGAAATATAACTTTGAAAATGATTCCCAGAAATTCGACTAACGGGCAGAGAGGTGTAGCTGCAATTTCGCGTTTAAATATTTCCGTTAAATCACACTTTATTTCTGGACGACTCAATAATTAAAGGTGATGCATCTTACGAATAATGACCACATCTGATCAGCATTCAAACATTTACTACTGGCTGGTATTTACTGAACACAATGTTCCCTGCCATTAGTTCCAGATCACGATTTTTATTGATTAACTGGATTATTAATTATTTCAATCGGCAATTAGCTAATGCTTTCTTCTAACTTTTCGATCATAATATGAATTTATTATCGCATTTATATATAATATTTTACAATTAACTTACATATTTAAAACTTCTCAGATTATGGAAATATTATGAACATATTTAAGTACTTAAGCATAATAAAATGCAGCCATAAATCATAAATATAAAAGAAATTCAATAATAATCAAGTTATAATGATCTTCACTGTTATTCCTCGTCATTATATTACACTTCTCACCAACTGTTTTTAATGATGCAAAAGTTTTGATACCAATATTGTTATAAATGTTTGTATTGAATAAGCTTAATCTCTACTGTTATTTCAGTAATATTTTGTGAAGGTAATATCGAAATATAATAACAGAAAAATATATCCTAATGATTACTAATAGTTCTTATTATAATTATTGATGTTACTCTGTATTCCTGTTATCATAATTATTGATGGTATTTTGTAGGTTTATTATCATAATTATCTGAGGTAACATCTTGGTGCTGGAGTTGGTGTTGCTCCTCAGATACTCTGTAAAGAAATACTTCTGGCAATGTTTTCTACTCGGCTTCCTCACCAACAATACTCTGGCGTCTCAGAATAATTATAGTTTGTTGTATGATAGATCATTATAATCTTACATGAAGATTTGCCATCTGAAAAATATTATAAGTGAGAGGATATTCATAAATGGAAAGTTGTTATAGTTAATTAATAAGAATTGTACAATGGTCATTTAGGTCACAATCTACTTACCCATTATGAGTGTTACACTATGTTAAGAACTGATGTGGATACATTAAACGCAATTTGGTGTTATTCTACATCGTTCCTAACAACAAACAGACGTCATCAAATTTATTTTATCAATTATTAAGTTACATAAAATTTATGAGAAACATTATACAAGTAGAGGTATGCATAAATGATAATTTGCATTATTACAGTTTTAATAAGTATTGTATACTTTATTCATTTAGTAAACATTTGATTGCACAACATTAGAGTACAATTTAGCATAGTAATTAAACACAGATGTGGATCACCCGTTTGTCAAAGACAACAGTGCAGAAATTTATGTGTTGTACTTAAGTTCATGAACAGTATGAGGATGTTCGGGGTTGTTCTGTGTGTTATTGTGCTGTTGGTTTTTGTATGTTTGTGTTTTGTGTTGTTGACGTTTGAGCAGTGATAGTGTGTGTGTGTGTGTATGTGTGTGTATGTTGTGTGTTTTGTGTGAGGTGGTGTGTGTTTTGTGATGATGATGTGTGATGTGTGTGTGATTGTGAGTTGTGTGTGTGTGGAGTGGTGTGTGTGTGTGTGTGTGTGTGTGTGTGTGTGTGTGTGTGTGTGTGTGTGTGTGTGTGTGTGTGTGTGTGTGTGTGTGTGGAGTTCATGTGCGGAGATACATAAATATTTGATTGTACAGGTACGCTTATTTCTTTACATTTGAGTGTGTTGTATAAACATAATGGACGAATTACAACAAAACAGAAAGCTGCTAACTTTTTTGTTGCAGATTTCTTGGTGGGAAGAAATAGATTAACATACCAACAAAGATATACACACAATAAAACGTCCATAAACAATTATACAGCTACGTAAGTAAAAACAAAAGAAATTAATATAAACACGTTATTAAATTTAAATAGAAGTCCGAGATTATCACTAAGTAACCTCAGCTTGGTGGCCGAGTTGTGAGGCAGCTTGGTGTTGTCTGGCTGACTACTGTTCCAGGCTGTCTTGGTGGGAGTAATTACAGGACGCAGTTTTCTGTGTGTTCCCTCCTGTAATTCCGCCCACCTGGACAGTCTCGGCAGTAGACCAGCTAGACAAGACCAAGTTACCATCCAACAAGGTCACTAGGAAGGGGCCACAACCGCCGAACCTGGGGAAGTGAGGAAGGCAGTTCATCTGAGGGCCCGCAGATGGACTTCTGGAAACACAGAACTAGGGGAAGCAAACACACGCGCGCGCTTACACACACACATACACACCTAACTATGACCACACCCGACTATGACCACGCCCGAATATGACCACGCCTGACTATGACCTCACCTAACTATGACCACACCCGACTATGACCACGCCCGAATATGACCACGCCTGACTATGACCTCACCTAACTATGACCACACCCGACTATGACCACGCCCGAATATGACCACGCCTGACTATGACCTCACCTAACTATGAACACACCCGACTATGACCACGCCCGAATATGACCAACGCTCGACTATGACCACACCTAACTATGACCCCACCCGACTATGACCACGCCCGAATATGACCACGCTGACTATGACCTCACCTAACTATGGCCACACCCGACTATGACCACGCCCGAATATGACCACGCCTGACTATGACCTCACCTAACTATGACCACACCCGACTATGACCACGCCCGAATATGACCACGCCTGACTATGACCTCACCTAACTATGGCCACACCCGACTATGACCACGCCCGAATATGACCACGCCTGACTATGACCTCACACTTAACGACTATGACCCCAACACCCTAACTATGGAACCCGCACCACGCCCGAATATGACCACGCCTGACTATGACCTCACCTAACTATGACCACACCCGACTATGACCACGCCCGAATATGACCACGCCTGACTATGACCTCACCTAACTATGGCCACACCCGACTATGACCACGCCCGAATATGACCACGCCTGACTATGACCTCACCTAACTATGCCACCTATGACCACGCCCGAATATGACCACGCCGACTATGACTCCTCACCAACTAAAATGACCACGCCCGAATATGACCGACTCCCCGAATATGCCCCCTGACTATGACCTCACCTAACTATGACCACACCTTAACTATGACCACCTGACTATGACCTCACCTAACTATGACCCACTACTATGACCACGCCTGAACTATGACCACGCCTGACTATGACCTCACCTAACTATGACCACACCTGACTATGACCACCCCGAATATGACCACGCCTGACTATGTACCTCCACCTAACTATGACCACACCTATGACCACACCTAATATGACCACGCCTGACTAAAGACACACCTAACTATGACCACCCGAAATATGACCACCCCGAATATGAACCAACAGACCCCACCTAACTATGACCTCACCTAACTATGACCTCACTTACTAGACCACCAACTGACCCACTTGACCACACTTGACTATGACCACGCCTGGCTATGACCTCACCTGGCTATGACCTCACCTGACTATGACCACACACTATGACCACCTAAATATGACCTCACCTAACTATGACCACACCTGACTATGACCTACCTATGACTACACCTAACTATGACCACACCTAACTAATGACCACACCTAACTATGACACACCCGAATATGACCCCCTGACTATGACCTCACCTAACTATGACTCACACTATGCCACACCTGAATATGACCACACCTTGACTATGACCTCACCTGAATTATGGGCCCCAACCCCACTAACTATGACCACACCTAACTATGACCTCACCTAACTATGACCACACCTGATTTTGACCACACCCTGACTATGACCACACCTAACTATGACCTCACAACTAACTATGACCACACCCTAATATGACCACAGCTAACTATGACCACACCTAACTATGACCAAACACCCTGAATATGACCCACCTATTATGACCACACCTAACTATGACCTCACCTAACTATGACCATCACTTAACTATGACACACCTAACTATGACCTCACCTGACTATGACCACGCTGACTATGACCACGCCCGATATGACCACACCTGACTATGACCTCACCTACTATGACCACACTATGACCACGCCTGACTATGACCACGCCACTGACTATGACCTCACCTATAGATCACACCTAATATGACCACACCTGAATATGACCACACCTAACTATGACCACACCTAACTATGACCACACCTAACTAGACCACACATAGACTATGACCTCACCTAACTATGACCTCACTTGACTATGGGCCACACTAACTATGACCCACCTGACTATGACCTCACCTGACTATGACACCTATGACCACCTGATATGACCATCACCTACTATGACCACACTATACTACAACCTATCTATGACCACATGACCCCTATCTATGACCACACCTAACTATGACCCCCTGCACCTGACTATGACCACACCTAACTATGACCACACCTACTATGACCACACCTAACTATGACCACACCTACTATGACCCCAGTTTGCTATGACCCACATTAACCCATAACCACACCTAACTATGACCAACTACTATGACCACACCTGATTATGACCACATCTATAACCACTCCTGACTATGACCACATCTATAACCACTCCTGACTATGACCACATCTATAACCACTCCTGACTATGACCACATCTATAACCACTCCTGACTATGACCACATCTATAACCACTCCTGACTATGACCACATCTATAACCACTCCTGATTATGACCATATCTGTAACCGCTCCTATGACCACATCTATAACCACTCCTGACTATGACCACATCTATAACCACTCCTGACTATGACCATATCTATAGTCACTCCTGACTGTGACCACTCCTGACTATGACCTCTCCTGGCTGCGACCACACCTGACTAGACCAGCTAGAAAAGACCAAGTTTGCAACCAGCAAGATCAACTGAACCTGGGGAAGTTATTAAGGCAATTTATCTTAGAGGACACGAAACTAGGGAAAGCACCAAGAAAATAGAAGTGGGGAGTGTGGAAGGGTTGACATCCGGGGTCCACGGATGGAGACCTGGAAACATGAAACAGAAGCAGAGAGAAGGCAAGAGAAAGAGGGGCGTACCTTGGGAAGTGGAAAACGAGGCAACATTAAAAACGAACCACTGGCCTCCACATGGCAGGTCTGGTAACTTAGGCTGACAGTGGTCGCAAACTAATAATTAATAGTTAATAATGTTTCCCGAAAACACGAAAAATAGCTGTGATAAGGTCTAAGATGCCACAAATCAGTGATGCTGATCAGAGTAATCTAGGAGGCAAGACTGAGTCTCAACACCTAATGTGATTATTGACTAGTTAACAAGGTGAGAGAGATGACAGCAGGGTGAGAGAGATGACAGCAGGGTGAGAGAGATGACAGCAGGGTGAGAGAGATGACAGCAGGGTGAGAGAGATGACAGCAGGGTGAGAGAGATGACAGCAGGGTGAGAGAGATGACAGCAGGGTGAGAGAGATGACAGCAGGGTGAGAGAGATGACAGCTGACTTAGGTGGTCAAGAGCAGCCAATGCGGTGATGGTGTCTCCTGAAATGGTAAATTATATTTTCTACCTGATTTTTTGAGTGTTGATATAGAGATATTGATATAAATGAAGATGTGAAGAAGATGCTAAGTGAGAAAGAGAGACTTATTTATTTACTAAATTATTATTTCTGGTTTCATATGATAAAGAGCAGCCAGTGTATTTGACTTATCTTGTTTCCACATTCTTAGATCTCTCAGAAGCATTTTATTGTAAATATTGTAAATCCATATTCTTGATAGTTACTGTAACCAAAGTGACTCCAGTAACTATAACTTTCACTGTAACAACACGGAATTACTCCTTCGAGATAAAGTTGATAAGTTAGCCAAAAAAGTATCCTGAAGGAATATGTAAAATGTAACTTTGGCATGTCTGTGTTTAACATTAAGAATATTAGTTGGAGAAAAATAGTTAATGAAACTGAATATTATAGGAATGCAGTTAGAATTCTGAGAAGATTTATTACCCACTATGATAACATGAACGTTTGTGGAGCGGCCAGCTGGTCCACACAGTCATCACAACCAGGTTGATCTGTCACTTGTTTAATGTAGTGACCGACTTTCCATTTGATGACTAATACATTTATTCCTATACTGTCTCTGATATCTGCTGGTGACAAGTTGAGGAGTCTTGGGCCACGTAAGTTGCGTCTATGATGCCCTTCCATATCACTGAATTTATTCCCGTATGACCTGGCCCTCCAGTAATTTCCTGGTGACTCGCAGAATCGTAGTAACACGACTGTATACATTTCGTGGAAGGGACGGTATTCGAACCTACAGCAAACCAGTTGTAAACTTAACAGTCCAGTGATGTAACCACTACACCATGACAACCTAATAAGATTCATCCAACTAGATATTTATCTATAGATTAAACAAGTTAGCATTAGCCGTACTCTGGAGACTGGTTAATTATGTGACTGGCTAATTATGTGACTGTTTAATTATGTGGCTGGTTAATTATGTGACTGGTTAATCATGTGATCGGCTAATTATATGACTGGTTAATTATATGACTTGCTAATAATATGACTGGACAGGATTCAACACATGGCTGAATTCTGTTCATTCCGTGAGCTGTTTAATGTACAATTATGTTACTACGATATTGTGAGTTACTGATAAAGGTTGGGAAGGGAACTGTGTCAGATCTTGCCACAGGCTGCGTTGGTGTTTCTTAGTAGAAACTTTGAATTTGTTTTAGTTTGTGTATGTGACAAGTGTTCTTTTTATTAGTTTGCATGAAGTACTCTCTCATGATTGCCTTCAGATCTTCAGTGATAACATTTGATGTAAACTGAGATATGCTCCATCAGACACTTGCACTCCAAAATAAAATAACTACTGATGAATGATGAAACAAGGCAGTTGTGGGCACAACTGAGCAATTAACCAATACCCGTGTTAGCAGATCCTCCAGAATCCTACACAAGACGTTTATATAATATATAAAATTTACATTACAAGAATATTTTATATATATATAATAGCAGTAAATGTAAATGCAAATATATAACAAATATTACATGAGAACGGTATTTAAAAAATCAATTGCGATCTTGAACTTTCTAGTTACTGACCAATAAAATCCTATTCTATTTTTAAATAATGTACCGTTTACAAAACTTATGGTGTTGTTGTCTCAGTGAATCTTACTTTAAATGCGAAGTCTTTGTTGGCAGCTTCGTACAGCCTCATCATAACAAAGAGGTTCCTTTACATTCTTTTTTAAACAGTCTGTGAGAATGGAAGTCAGATCATTTAAATTATTCACAAAAATTCTATAGAAATTTACTGACACAAGGAAACTTCTCAGCAATTTTTTTTTTTTTTGCAATTTAGAAGGTGCTTTCGTCTTGTTAGTAAGAGGTGATAAACTATTGTCAGAAATAATAAACCCGAGGTATTGTACCTGGAAATATCCAAGTAAACACTTCTATGGTTTAATTGTAAGGCCATGAACTCTTATTCTTTTTAAAACCAGCGACAGTGTAGTAGGATGATCTTCCCAGACATGAGTCATGATGTAAATATTATCTAAATACACTGAAACATTCATGAGGTCAGAAAGGACTATTCTCATAAGCCGGATATACGTGGCACACAGGTGACCAAGCCGAAAAGTATTGTGCGATATTGCATTAGTCTTCTATGAGTAGGGAAAGCCGTGTATGGTTTAGAGTCTGGGTGTAATGATACTTGATGGCATGTTTGTGAGATATCTAACTCAGAGAAGAATTTACAGTCATGGAATTTATACAAGTCATGATCGATTACTGGCATGGGCTCAGCATACCATTTAGTGATAGCGTTTAAATAACGAAAATCTTGTGCCAGTCTGTAAGAATTGTCTGTTTTCTTTACCATAACAACTGGTGGACAGAAAGTTGATGTAGAAGGTTCTAT